TGTTGTTTTTTTTTTTTTTTTTTTTTTGCATATGAACTACTGTCTGAAGGAGCCTTTCCAATCGTGTACTTGCAAAGCTAGTATTTTGAAACCAAGTGTACAACTTTACATTTATCCTTATTAAATGTCATCTTATTAAGTCTCACATTCCAGCCTTTCAAGCTCCTTCTGAATCCTGACACTGTCATCCAGTTTTATTGCTATCGTTCTCTAAGTACTGCACCATCTAAAAATCCACGAAGCACAACATCTGAGCAATCCTTGTCATTGACAGAAGTGATAAACTACACGGGACTGAACATAACTCCCTGGGATACTCCACTTTACTAGTTGAAACTGAGTACTATAGTTCAAAAATTGTCTGTCCATCTAAGCAACTTTAAATCTGCCTTATGCATCATCTTCTAACTCATGTCTTCTCCTTTTCGCAAGAAAACCATGAGACTTACTCACATTATTTGCTAAAACCTCTAGCTAAACTATTAACTATAGCATTTTCTTGATTTGCCAGCTGGGTAACACTGTCAAGAAAAAAAAAGGAAACAAAGTATAAAATATGATTGTGATGAAGTCATGCTGGTTTTTTTTTCAATAACCACACCCATGTCTAAATGTTCACTAACCATCCTGTCATTAAAATGTCCTACAGCTGGTCAGGAATTGAAGTCAAAGACCATGGGCCTTTGCTTTGCAAAATTCATGCTCTTGCCAGTTTTGAAGATGCAATCTTCTGTCCTTCAGTACCTCTTCTATTCTCCATGATTGTTCAAAGAGTGGATTTTCAATCGCATATAGCAGTTCTTTAGATACTCTGGGATATATTTCATCTGAGTCTAGTGACTTGATCTCATCAAGGATGGCTTGGAGCACTCATACCTCCTCCCTTCTCATCCTGCATTTCAACTCACTATTAGCCATACTTATTATAATTTTATAGCCCAAATATTATTTTCTTTAACAGAGATTACAGAAAAAAATAGCACTGAGAAGTTCTTCATTCTCTCTGTTATCCATTATAAGTGTCCAATCTATCCTGAGAAGTTGGTCAAGCCCTTGTTTCATAATTATCTTCCTCTCAAAAAAAAACATTTTAAAAAAAGAAATAAAATTTTTGTTATTCTTAGTTTTCTTTACTAGTCTTGGCTTTATTCAGTCCTTTAACCATCTTAAACCTATTATCATAGTACTATAAGTGGATTTTACATCCATTCTCTATCACTTGTCCTTGCTTTTGCCTTCTGTACATATTTTGTTTTATTTAAACTGATTAATGAGTTTACTATGCATCCACATCAGTTTCTTTGGGCCATTCCTTTTCTTCATCAGAATTATTTCTTTTTGCATCTTCAAAAATTAATTCCTGGGAACTTCTAAGCACTATCTACCCCCACCTTTATTCCACAGTCAACTGGATCTCAGAGATTCATGGCAGACTGTGACCCATTTTCATTTCCTTTTCTATCCCAAGTTATAATGTGGAGTGATCTTCCAAAGTTTGTATAATTTCCATTTCATGCAAACAGTTCCCCTTTATTTTTGATAAGCATATAAAGAATAGACACTCCTCTTATTGTTTCCTCTACCTTTTGTAATTTTAATTAAAGCAAGGCAAGAAATTATTAGCTGTTCTCCTTTTGTTAGAGAACACTCCAGCAGATCACTGAATAATTGAAGTCTCCCATCACTACTATGTCATGCCTCTGTGTCAGGCTTGTGATTTGTTTGAACTCCTAATCTATTTCCTCTTCCTATCCAGGAGTTCCATAGTATACTAAGATGAAAATACCTTCTATTTCTGCCTCCATTGATCTTCTCTTACTCTCCATCGCACTACCCTTCTCTGGTTCCTGGATCTCCTCACATGAGTATATCATCTTACCATTCAATGCATAGAACTAAACTAACAATTCTCTTGGGTCACCTCAAGCTCTAAGATTCTATGAATCAGTCCACTCTGTACCATTTAAGTCATTATCATTGGTGTATCCAATAGATGTACCTATCTCAAATGTGACTGCATTAGGACAGAATACAAAGGATTTACTTTTGTGGGTTTTTTGCTTGTTTCTTTTGGGGATATTTGTTCTTTTTTCAGGTTCTTTTAAGTTTTTTTTTTGTCTACCTAATGCCAAATAATTAGTTTTGCTTTTTTTCCCCACATTTCAACTACAGTTTCTCCCCCATGGCTAACTGATATCCTTGGTTAAAGTACAACATTAATGAGATCTAAGTAGTGGATCTAATCCCCCACATAGACCAATTATATTTATTCTTTTCCAGTACCAGAGACCACACCCTTAGCCCTAGTCAGCCATCTATAAGAGAGTATGGCTGGTCACAAGAGGAACTAAGCAAGAAGCAGTAGAGATGGTTTAGTGCAAACTCATCCATACTCCTATGCATACATCATGAATTAATGAATTAATGGAAAGATCATGGAAAACAGAGAAGGTACTGGAGGACTGAAGAAGGCTGCATTTTCAGAACTGGAAAGAGAATGAAGTCTACAAACCATAGGACCATGGTCTTTGACTTCAATTCTTGGCCTAAGTCCAGGACATAATAATTAATAATAGGATGGTTAGTGAACATTTAGACAAGGATGTGGTTATGGGGGGGGGGAGGTGCAGTATTTAGAACAATGGCAATAATACTGGATAACAATGTCATGATTCAGAAGGAGTTTAAAGGGAGGTATAGCATTATAGTCCAGATAAATGATGGCCCTATTGTATCTCCACCAGTGAGACTATAAGTGGATTATAATGTCAAGTTGTGGATATTATATTTTAGGGAGAGGTTTTTTTTTTCAGCCAAAGATAAAGTTTATTAGAACATCCACCATATTGGCCAGACTCTTAAGGAATCTAAGCGTTTGTATCACGAATGTAGGTGGGCCAGATTTTAAGAATCAGAGCCCTTGGATAGACTCTTAAAGAATCTTAGGGACAGCTAGGTGGCACAGTGGATAGAGCTCTAGCCTTGAGGTCAGGAGGACCTGAGTTCAAATCCGACCTCAGACACATGACACTTACTAGCTGTGTGACCCTGGGCAAGTCACTTGAACCCATTTGCCTCACCAAAAGGCAAAAAAAAAAAGAATCTGAGCACCTTACTAGAGGCCAGATGGACCTTATATGCAGAAAGACTTTGGGAGGGATCTAGGAGTGGCCAAGTAGTCTAGGGTGACTGTGAGGTAATAGAATGCCAGGGACCTGGACCACAAGGCCAAGGGAGAATGGAACCTAGATAGGATTAAGGTTGGGAAGTGGCCTGGGGGCCATTGGAAGGAAAGACAATAGAGGGCTAGGAACAGATAATTGGGAGATTGAGTTATAATGAAAGGCCAGTTGATAGGACTATAGCCTCAGGTGAATGCTAGGGATTTGACCATGTGGGAAAGTCCAGAGCTTTTCCTTTTTGGGGTCCAGATCCCAAAGACATGGTCTTTTTCCTTTTAGGGGTTTAGATCCCATCCCCATCATTCCCCCCTTTAACAAATGGGACCTATATTCTTTTGGTGTAAGGTCTTGGCTTCTGAAAATGTTCCTATTGGCAAGGGATGTAGAGCTGTCCCCACCTTGAGGGGGTCCCAAAGAGGAAGTTGACTGGAACCAAGCACAGGCTGCATCTGGAGACAATGGGCAGACATTGGCTGGTACTCGCTGTTTGCTACCAACTGTAGGTGAATGGCCTATAGTCTGGAAGACACAAATCTTACAGAAAAGACTGCAGGGCCCAGATATAGGGAGAAGTAAAAGTATAAGAGCCCCATTAAAATCATTTACATTTGACCTGCAAAATTATTTGATCTTGTTACTTTTCCCAAAAGTTTAAGTAACACTTTTGCAGATAGTAGGGAGAGTATTGATAAGCCAAAAAACATCCATAGAAAGGGCAGCTACAATGATTAAGGGCTTCAAATCATGCCATATGAGAATAAGGTGAAGTAACAAGCAATGGGTAGCCTGGAAAAAAGAAAACTTAGCCATCTTAAAGTATTTTTATTAGAGGTAGCTTGGATAGTGGATAAGGTACTGGATCTAGAGTCAGGAAGCCCTGAATTTAAATCCTGAAGCAGACATTTATGAGCTCTATGACCATGGGCAGGTCCTTAACCATCTAGTAACTCCATTTCCTCATCGGTAAAATGAATTGATCAAATTAGGT